AGATGTTATGGTATCATTAAACTTTATATACCATTGTTGTGAGGCTTGTTTAAGTCCATATATCGACTTCTTCAGTTTACACACCATTTAACCTTTTCCTTTAGTTTCGAAACCCTCTGGTTGGTCCATATAAACTTCCTCCTCGAGGTCTCCATTAAGAAAGACAGTTTTCACATCCATTTGGTGTAACTCTAAATCATAATGAGCCACCAAAGCCATAATAATTCTTAAGGAGTCTTTCTTTGAGACCGGCGAAAAGGTCTCCTTATAATCAATGCCTCTTTTCTGAGTATAACCCTTGACAACAAGTCTGGCCTTGTATCTTTCAATATTGCCATTTGAATCGCGTTTGGTCTTAAAGACTCATCTACACCCGATTCTTTTAGAACTTTCTAGCAATTCAACAAGATCCCAGGNNACCTTTTTATCTAATTGCCTTTCAACCTCATTAACAAACACTTTAAGAGCATCTGTTGCTTGAGATTTTTCTTTCAGCAAATAGATGTATCCATAACGTGAAAAATCATCGATAAAAGTGATAAAATATTTCTCTCCACCAAAATATGGAACATCAAAGGGTCCACAAATATCGGTGTGTATAATTTCAAGAAGCTGGGTGCTTCTTGTGGCACCTTTCTTACTATGCTTGGTTTGCTTTCCCTTAATGCAATCCAAACATATAGTAAGATCAGTAAAATTTAGATTCGGAAGAATCTCATTTTTTACTAATCTTTCTAACCTTTCTTTGGATATATGACCCAAACGTCTATGCCACAAGTAAGCAGAACTTTCATCTAGTGAACTACGTTTCATTCCAACATTATGTTGAACAGTAAGAAGGGATTCAGAAAAAGCAATATTGAGTTTCAATTTATATAAACCATCACTGAGAAAGCCAGAACCATAAAATATAGCATTCTTATATAAATTGAAACATCCATTTCCAAACTTTAAATCAAATCCAGAAACATCAAGTCTTGAAAGAGAAATTAAATTCCTAGAAACTGAAGGTACATAACGAGTCTGTAATAGATCAAGGTGACGTCCAGTCTCCATGATCAAACGATAAGTCCCCATGCCTTCAATTGGAGCCTTCATACGATTTCCCATGAACAAGAAATCCTTATTTGGATTTGTAGTTTGGATCGTAAGGAATCCCTGCAACGTAGTAGATACATGAGCAGTTGCACCAGAATCAAGCCACCAAGTATTATTAGGAACTTCTACTAAATTTGATTCGAAACATACAAAAGCACTAATTGTACCTTTCTTTTCGAACCAAGCTTTACGTTTCAGGCAATCTTTCTGATAGTGCCCTTCCTTGTTACAGAAACGACACGTATCTGCTTTATATTCCTTGTTAGCATCCTATTGAGCTTTAGTGTGCTTTCTTCTTCTTGAACTTGTTGGCCTTCACTTTAAGTCCTTTACCAGCTCCTTGAACCATGAGGTTAATTGAATGATTCCCTTGTTTCTTAAGTCTTGACTCCTCCTGAGTAAGCATACTGGACAATTCACTAACATTCCACTTATCCTTAATAGTGTTATAGTTAATTTGAAAAGGTCCATACTCAGGAGGTAACGAGTTCAGAATAAACTGAACTAAGAAGGAGTCATCCACTTTCATCCCCAAGGTCTGAAGTCTTGCTGCAATGTTAGTCATCTCGATGATATGGTTTTGCATACTACGCGACCCATCAAACTTCATGGTCGTGAGTTCAGCCATTAGTGTACCAGCGAGAGACTTATCTGCAGAACGAAAACGTTCTTCCACAAACGTCAGGTATTCCCTGGCACTTTCTGTTTGTGGAATAGTACTCTTAATATTGTTGACAATATTCATTCACATAAACATAAGGCTTAGCCTGTTAGAGCGTTCCCATACTTTATGGAAAGACTTCTCATCCGCACTGCTCGAATCAGTAATGGCAGCGGGCTTATCATTCAGCAGAGCCAAGTCAAGATACATTACACCTAAGTGGAACTGGACTTGTTCACGCCATTCAGAGAAGTTCAATCCATTGAACATAGTAACAGACAAAGCAAGCGAATGAAAAGGAATAGCTGCAAAATAGATAATACATGCTCACAAATCAATATGGATTCAACAATACAGTTAAAGCATATCGCAATTCTCCTTTGGATAGATACTACGACACACTATCATAATTTAAATGTCATTTAGTCTTTAATAGGTAATTAAATATTTTTAACCAAATATATATGCCATTTTTGGACAGACAATATATATTTGACTAAGAATATTAATTTACCTCATCATATTCACTATTCATAGAATAATTGATTCACCTTTGGGTAAATCCTTAAGTTCTAGCAATAGTGAAAATTAATTTATCCACTAATTTTTATTATAGGCATTTCATTAATTTCATGGATAAACTATAATTTTATGTATGCATATTTCTAAACATACTAGTTTGGTCACTTTGGCGACTAACAAACTATAATAAACATAAATGCACACATAAAATAAATATCAGGAAATTTTATGCATGTGAATATTTTAAACAATCTAGTTTGATCACTTTGGTGAAACAAACTATACAAATATTATTCACATACATAAAATATAAAAAAAAATTAACTTTAATAGCCTAGAATACGATCAATAATCCTCAATAACAGGAGTTAACTCTGTAACCCAAAATAATATTACGTTGAGACATAAAATATAATGAACCAATCTTGAGCCAAATAACTCTTTGTCGATTACCGTGGGCTAAGGGTTCGAAAGATTAGATTTTGCACTAAAAGATAAAATACTTTAGTTGTTTCATTGGCAGAACTCAGAAGCTTCTTATGATTGCCAATTCTCGGTGCGTGATTTTTTTCGTATGCATCGGCGCTTCAACATACTAATTCTTTAGGATTATTATCATTAAAATAAAAAATAAAAATTTAATAGAGAATTGCGCCGACATCAACTATCTGTTAACGATATGTATAGCTTCATAATCATCTATTCCTCTTTAAAATTAAACAATACTTGGTTCATATATATATAACAGGAGTCAAAATAAGAATTATGTTTAGGAGATTTCGTTTTATCCCTTTTACGTCAGTGGTACCATAATCATGTTTATAATATATCTCTTTAACGAAGATTATCAATTCAAAAATCCAGGCTCATGATACCACATGTATGCATAAACTTTAATTCATACCAGGATCTTGAACATGACAATCTTACATATAATCATTATAGAAAACATACCTGAAGCGGAATCCATTATCGTGAAGCGGAAGCGTTGATTGAAATAGGTTTTCTCGCTCCTTGCCCTAGCTTTATGTTACCGCCGACTTTAGTGATGGAAGAAAGAATAAAAATAAATACGGTAACCCTAATGGGTGGGGAGAGGACCAATTTATAGAGGTTCTCACTTAATCTGGTACGTCCATCAAGTAACCAATCGGACGGATGAGATTTGATAATTAATTAAATATTAATTATGGGCCTTAACCTATTGGGCCACACATACATAGGAAAATAACTTACACCTTCTGCAGGAGGCCTTGCAATCCGTGTCTGTGAAAGCAGTTCTTTGTTCGAATCAGAACCAAAACTAGGACTAGGTTTGGGGGGCTTGGGCAGTATGTGGCACGTCCTTAGCCCCTGTTGAAAGGGGGAGTTTTTCCATGTTCCCTTCCTTCAACCCCTCCACCAGGAAAAGATAATCCCGGATTTGAACAACCCACAGGAGTACTCAAAAAGAAATCTAGTGATATATGGTTGATTGGTCGTGTCATACATTTCCTTTCACCCCTTGGTTTGGTTTGCTATTGTCTAGTTCGCAAAATAGAGAACCTATAGACTGCTGGTTGAGATTTGAAAAGCATGTGCTAACATCACCAACAGGTAGCACCTTCTTTTGTTTAGTTTTCCCAAGAGACACGTTATTCTCATCCTTGTGACTTTGAAAGGGTTGACTAGGCTCACTAATCTCTATTATATTGTTCACTGTTGGAAGCCTTCCTTTGTCGAAGTTGGTTTTATACCCTTTTCCACATGAAGTGGCTGTATAAAATTAGTTCCGAAGTGCTATTACGAAAATCATCAGCAGGTACCTGCCAAAATATTTATAGAATGGTAACACTCAAAATATGTCTGGGACTTACTAACCAAATATGTTAAGGACTACAACAATTAGCATAGGCAAAGTGTATATAAAAGAGACCCGAAAACAACTCTTATTAGAAAAGTAAAACAAACTAAGAAGAGAGAAAAGTAAACACATGGTGAAACAATACTGACACGATACATTAAATTCTAGGAAATGACAATCAAATCAATCAATTCAACAATCAAAAATGCCGCAATCTCAAACTAGTTGGATCCGGCTATGTGAATTTTCTATATATCCATTTCGACCTATTGGGGCCGTTTCGTTCCAATACATATACTTCAAGACTGAAAGAAAATATGAGTAAATGAATAGTAAATATTAAACAACAACAAATAACAACAAACCCAATATAATCCCACATAGTGGGATCTGAGGAGGGTAGTATCTATGTAGTCTTACCTTTACACCTTGTGGAGATAGAGAATCTGTTTCCAATAGACCGCCGGCTCAGAGAAGCATAAGCACCACATTAGAGAAGAGAAAAATAAGAACCAAAACAGAGAGAAGCCATGTAAAAGTAGCATAAATCACAACAAATAATCAGGAGACCGCTATGAAAGAAATGATAACTAGTCATAAAAATCTAATTTTTCTGATGGCCGTACAAGCTTTCTGATGGCCTGCAATGTACAAGCTTTCTGATGGCTCGATCTCGGTAGTGGCCGAGATACTCATCGTTATTACGCCTTGTGGGTACGACCACGGCTTAGTCGACCCCTTACCATTCCTGTTAACGCTAATCCACGTGTGGTAAACTTTTTGACATATACAGTTAGTCTATCTGCCCATTGGGGTCGCCTCTTGGCGAGCTCGATGGGCGGACTCTGTTGATTCTAAAATGGGAGAAATCTGAATGCTTAATGTGAGGAGCGAGATCCTCTTGGCGAGGTAGTGACGTGACGCTTCAAGAATTACGTCGAACCATTACGTCGGTTCAGAATTGGATCTTCATGTCAATTCATAATGTCATAAATACTTCTCATGCGTCATTATGGTGCACGTTTCCTAGGTATCGTGTCGTTTCCCATGCCCTTTCTGCTTTCTAACTGGCGGCTCTTGGTTTTCCCACTCAGGGCATTTATATCCCTATAAATAGGGGGAACCTCTCATTTGAATATTACGCTTTTCAATTGTATAAGAAAGAACTTTGAGAACTTTATCCTCCTTCTCTAGCCTCTCATATTCTGCTTTTGCTAGGATTTGCTGTGACCATTGTCTTTTTCCTTCATCATTTTCATTTCTTTCGATCAAAGAAAACAAATGGCTAGTGCTTCTTCTCATTCTAATAAAGTTGTAAGCGCTCCGGACCGGAAAATGGCGTATCTCTACTCGAAGAGGGAGTGGAGGTGGTGGAAGACGAGGGGTTCCCGACGGTGGATGAGGTGGTTCCCCACTCGGGGAAAGCGATGACTAATTTTAACAGCCCTGCCGGAGATGAACCGAAGCTCGTTCCTTCCACAATAAATGTTGCGGCGATCACGACATTCAAAGCCAAATAGGGGATCCCTGATTGCATTGAATTGGTGCTGGCGGATCAAGACATAGTGCATTTACACCACCCGGGCTATTGTGCGTTCTACGTGTATCCCTTTGTCATCGGATACATGCTTCCCCTTCCTTCCTTGGTGGTGGATTTCTACCGCTCCTATGAGGTGTGCTTGGCTCAACTCTCTCCGTATGTGTAAAAGCTCTTCCTCATGCTCATCAAGTATGCGGAGCTGGTCGGCCGAGGGATTTCTTTAGGGCACATGCTCCACCTCTTCTCTCCCTATTTTCTTCGGGGTACGATGATTCATATGCGTTATCGAGGAACCAAGAGTTTGGTGGTGAAGATGGATGATAAGGCCAATTGCCGCTTTTGGGAGAGCTACTTCTATGTCCAAACAGAGCACGTCGTGTCGAATCGAGCACGTTTCCTGAGATGTGGAATTTTGCTCGTGAGTTTCCTCTGTTTACTTTATGCAATTTTTCTTAAGATGGTCGTCGATCGTTTTCCTTTACCGACTTCACTGAGGATTTGTTTTTTTCTTTTGCAGCCGAGACAATGCCTCCCCCGCTAGTTGCCGATATTTGCAAGTGGGTGAGCGCAATTCTCCTCCACATAATGGGGATTCGTGGGCACCTTTCCATGAGAAGTTTGGGCTCAAGCCTCTTACTAGTAAGTTAGCTCGTTATGGTTTTGCTTTGTTATCTACATTACAGTTTCTTTAACCTTGTCGTTATATAATCAAATCCCTCCTTATTGACAGGTTGGAGAGGAGTGAGAAGGACGAGGGCTCCTCCGCTCGCATTCTATCAACTGGTGCCCTCCGCCCGGCCCGTACCAATAGTTACTACAAGCGAGGGCGTAGAGAGTCCGGATGCTTATCAGACCGCGCCCGCGATCGAAGCCATCCGCTTGGAGGTTACTTCTCAACCAGAGACTCTGGTCCCCGTAGTCCAGTCAATGGGTGAATCTTCTCGCGTCGGTAGTGGAGAGGCCCAGTCGAAGAGACGAAGGGTAGTTTTGGAAGGGGTTTCCTTAGCCGAAATGCCTTTGAAGGGCGGCCTTATTTTGACGGTAGCCGAAACCGGTGGTGGTGCCAGCCAGGAGGCGGAGGCGATGCCCTTTGCGAGTGGCTGTTGTGGTGAAGAGACAAAGTTTGGAGGCTGCCGTTAGTGTTTTGGGCGGCCCGTCCACATCTCGGCCAAACCGCGCCCCTTTTTCGGCCAATGAGAAGGGGAAGGGTGTCATGGTTGAGGATTATGAATCTGAATCCGACATTGACCCTGAGGAAATGAAGATGTTCGAGAAGGGCTTCACTAGGACTGAGGTAGGGGCGGAAGGCCCTTCCCGCATACTTGAAATTCCATTGGATTTCAACCTGCTGCAGGATACGGTGGATTTGGTGCCGCAGTTTGATCTTCTATGCTCCACCGCCGAAAGCGGATCTCTTCAGGAGGTCAGCGACTCTGAGTTGTCACGTGGTGTGGCCGCGATAGGCCTAAGAGTGAGTTCCTTTTTGTTTTCTTTGTTTTGTGACCTTTGTCTTTACTGACTTGTTCTCCTCTCTCTCTTTTTTTAGACATACATGCTAGAGATCGAGAGCGCTCGTAGGGCTAAGACGTGGGCCAAGATTTTTCTAAAAATGGCCGAGAAGTATCGCCAATATCATAACAGGTGTCGTGAGATGCGCGAGCAGCTTAGAGCGGGCACTAGTACCCAGTCTGCCAAGGAAGAGTTAGAGAAAAGAGATGAGGAACTGATGCGGTCTATCTGCAGATGCAGTGAACTTTAGGAGCTACTTCACGCCAAAGACGAGGAGCTCGACGTGGGCAAAGGGGTTGTCGTGGAGTGCAAGGACCTTCAGGCGAAGGTGTTGTCTTTATGAGCTGAGCTTGAGCAAAATGCTACTAGAGTCAATGCTCTTAGTTCAGAATGGACGGAGAAGGTGGCCGAGCTGGAAAAGAAGGTGGCAAATTGGAGATTGCTGAGGGTGATCGAGTGTCAGCTTTGGTGAGGGTGGCGGCGTTAGAAGACACTATCCGCGTCCTCAAGTTTGAGCAGGAATCTGAGAGGGCGACGACCACGATGAGGGAGGCATGGCTTGAGGAGCGGATTGGTGAGCTTGGTTGGGATGCTTCGAGCTTGGGAGACCGAGTTGCGGCTCTTGAGGCCAAGAAGGCACAGTTATTGGCTCAAGCTTCCCCTCAAGAGTTTGCACCGGCTACTGTTCCCCGCCGCCTGTATGAGTATGGGTCCATGTTGAGGCCTAACGTGACATATACAAGGGTTTGTGGGAGGCGGGAAGCTTCCTGAGGCCGCCTTTGAAGATGCTCGGGTGAAGGCGCGCGAGGCTCGCCTTGCCGGTGGTTATGACCCCGCGACACCGGAGGCTGGTGAGGTGCTGAGATTGAAGATGAGCTTCCTTCAGATGAAAATGATGCTGGGGAGAACGGCGGTGGAGATGACACCGAGTGAAACTTTGTTGCAGCTTTTCTACTTACTTTTTTTTGTTCTTTTGTTGTTTATTTTCATCTTTTTCTTGAGGGCCCGTTTTTGGCCTTTTGTAAGGCGCGGTTGTTGCGCATGTACATTTGAATAAAATAGTTGTCTCACCCTTGTT